AGGGACTGCAGGTACTCGCTACGCTAACCGCAGGTAGGCTGCTGTCTGGGGAAGGTCGCTGTCCGTACCCGATTCTTTGTTCTCCGGTTTTTTTGGAAGCTTCTGAGGAGCCTCGTGTTTTATTGCTGTAGTGAGTGTAGAAACTGGGCGTGCTCGCTCACGCCGGTGTTCGGGATGGGGGTTGTTGGCCCCTTCAGCTGCCGAGCACTGGGCTGGGTGCTTATTCCGTGTTTTGGTCACCCCGGGGACATGCTGTGGACTGGGGAGGGAGAAACTTCTTCAGCAGTGCCAGCTGCTTGGAGGAACACAAACTGGGCAGGGAGAGGGAGTAGCAGAGGCTAGCAAATAATACTGTGGTACAGGACAGTTTTCATTCTTTGTTTTTTTTTTGATTCTTTGTTTTTTTTGGGGGGGCAAGAACCAGCAGGAGTTTTGGCATGTTTGCTGAGAGCTGGAGCGGTCACTGCGAGCCAGCTGTGGCCCAGCCACGCTGCGGAGGTGGCCGGGCTGCTGCACAGCTCCGCTCGTAGCAGCCAGCGAACCACTGTCAGTGCTGCTGAGATTAAACTGCTGCTGGATCGCAGCCGGACTTCAGGAACTGTAAAAATACTCGTTAAACCCAGATGTACCTAAGGTGTTGAAAATAGATATTTTTTTTTTTTCCTTCCCCGTTGTTGTGTGCAGAATACAAACGGCTGAGTGTGATGTTTGATGAGGTGAGAAGTGAAAATGAGCACTGCTGCACAGAAGCTTGCTGTGGCAGAGCTCTCCGTTACTTGTCCAGCAACAGCCTTGTGGTCTTGGCCAAGCCAAGATTTGGCGGCCTCGCTGCCTGAGCCCGGATTTGTGGCCGCGTTTGTTAAACCTGCCTTCGATTCTGTGCTTCGTCCCGCCAGTTCTGGCAGCAGTTTGTGCGTAAGCAGCTCTCGGGGTCCGGTACCACTTCGCTGTGGTTTGGGAACCCCAGCAATAGGCTTTTTTGTGTGTGTTGTTGGATTTGGTTTTTTTGGTCCCCTCCACTTTGATAAAACAGAAGTGGTTTTCTACCTTCAAGGCACTCCGCGCAGCTTGGTTTGCAAAGATTGCGGTGGAGATTCTCTGGCTGGAGGAACTGTTTGGGTTGCAGGCTAGCAGTTGGGTAGCAGGAAACTTAAAAACCTGTAACCATTAAAACCAGTACAGAGCTGACTTACTCAGAAACATGAAAAAATGCCTTAGAACCTGTTTAAAAACTCTGGTTCTGGTGCAGGTCAGACCGTGTTAACGTAGAAGAACGTTGAATGCGGCTCTCGTGGCGATGTTATGACATGGTCTCAGTTTAAGCCGTGCTGAGCAAGCTTTGAACAGCTACAGAGCCTGTTGTCTGTGCTCCTCAGCACCTGGGAGTAGGGAGAAGCCCCCATATGCCAGAAAGGGCTTATTTTCATGTCTTAAAGTAGACTTTTTATTTTTTCAACTGTTGTATCCACGTGGAACCTCTCACAGAAGCAGGACTGCAGCGCTGGGTGGCATGGTCTCACCAGTTCCACACTTCTGGAGAGCATTACCTGCCTGTGTCATCCTTAAAAAGCATTGATGGGGTTCCCTTCTGCTTATGCAACTTTTCTACACGTAAAACCCAAGGTTTTTAGCTCCAAGCAAGGCTGCCATCGTGCTCGATGGAGGTAGGCTCGGTTCTTCCCCGCAGTGACGTTCTGTTGCGCTGGGTGCGTGGCCGGTTGCGGAGGGGCGCAGGCAGAGACTGGGAATCGTGCCTGTGGTGCCCGCAGGTCGGTACCGCTGGAGAAGAGAAACGGCTGACTGAGAGACCGTGGCTTTCCAGGTGCCTGAAAAGCGTCTTGGTTGATCCCAGCTCAGACTGGGGACTAAGCCCCCTCCGAGGGGCGGCGGCGGTGTGATTAGGCAGCTCCTCTCCTGCCCTGCTGCGTAGGAGCGTGGGCCCAGCCCCTGCCCACGGTCCCAGCAGGCTCCTCCTCTGTCTCAGAGGAGACCACATCTCTCAGTTCAGCCATCTAAGCTTTGGAGCTTGTGAAACCAGCGTGTGCTCCGAGCTTGGAACGGACCCTCGGTGCGGGCTCTGGAGAGGCAGCAGATGAGAGGCCTGGAAGCACACACTGCAGAGTCGATCCACAGCAGATGCTGAAACGCGGTCGCTGCTAATGGGAGCTGTATGTGGAGGGTACTCCACCCTCTGAACTAAAGGGCGGTTTGGCGTGGTACTGGTTTATTCTCTTCTTTTCCACTCTCCTCTTTAGAAATGGCATCAGATGTTTCCTCGCTGGGTGCAGCCGTCAGCTCCGGGAACCCCGGACCGGGTGCGCAGGCTGGAGGAGCCATCGTTCAGAGAGCCAACAAGAGGCGTCCCGGGTGAGTGTGTGCAGTGTGGCTTTTGCTTTTTTGGGGAGGGGGTGTGTGTGAAGTGTATTTTTGAGGAAGCATTGTTCTCTTGTGATGAGGAAACTTGTCTACTTCTAAGCAAAGAAGTTGCTGGTTCCTTCAGGCGCGCTGTGTCCGGTCCCTTTACTGTGCAGTGGTATGCTTCACGCCCATCACACGCATGAAAGCCCGGTTCTGTACTGCATATAAAAAGAGAGGACTGAAAAGGTGAGTTGCACCTCGCAGGAGAAGAGGGTTGCTCCCCGAGGCCGGGAACAGGAGTCCCTGCAGCCGCGGGACGAGCCGTTTGGTGTGAGAGAGGGAGAGGAACAGAGAACGTGAATACTGGGGCCTTACTCAAACCTTCGCAACTGTGCCTGCGCTGGGAGAGGGCGGGGGGAAGCTGCAGTGTGCTTGTGGTAGGCTTTTTGTTTGCTGAAGATGCCTTTGCAAATTAAAAGGGTATTGAGTGGCTTCTCTTAAATTCCTGGCACAAGAAATTTCCTCTTAATTTTCAAGCTAATTAAAATCTCTCCCTGCCCCCCCCAGTCACTCAGGCCCTTTCCTTCAGCTCCATTTGCTGATGCTCCCACTCCCTGCAGCTCCTCCCAGGCTGTCTGCTGCGTGTTCCTCGCACTTCATTTGCAAACACGCACGCTGCTCTGCGGCATCTACACGCCAGTTTTCCGTCCTGAAAGGGAGCGCAGCGAAAAGCCTTGCCTCCGTCCTCCCACGTACCCTTGTTGGAAATGGCTTTTTGACCCTGTTAGAACAAACACAGTGACGTCGTCTGCCACTGAACTACGGGCACTACCGATGCAGGTCATCAGACTGAACTTTAACTCTTGAAGTATTTTGCCCTCCTCTTTTTTTTTTTTCTTTTTGAACAAAACTGATCCAAGCGTCTGAGTTGGGAGCGCTCCATTTATAGGCTGTTGGTCGGTCCCTTGAGCAGCAGCTGAGGCAGCCAGTCGGGCTTCAGATCGTTGCTATGAGATCCAGAGCTTTTGGAACAGGAGGTTGTGGTGCTCCAAGTGGGCTTTCTCTCTTTTGCACTGTTTCCTTGCTCTGTTTTTGATAGACATGTGAAGGAAGTCCACTTCTAGACCTTTTGGGTTGTTTCACATTAGCCCCTGGGATTTTTTTAATCTTCCTTTCCAGAATCACCTGCATCCCTGTAGGGACAGACTGAAAAGCAACCTCTAAAGAAGAAACCACTTGGTTAGTAATTATCTTCTTGCTTCTGTTTTTCAGGCTTGATTTTGATGATGATGGAGAAGGGAACAGTAAATTCCTCAGGTGAGGGAGAATCTTGCACCCAGAAGTTCCTGTTGTGTGGTCTAGGTGTGTCTGCATTTCCCCTGGAGCAGGAGCTTGCTGCTCCGGTGGCTTTTCCTCTCAGCAGCGCAGAGGGAAGTGGGGGGAGGCTGAAGGAGGCAGTGCTCTGCTTCTCAAACTCTTCCCTTTCTCCTAGTCAGCAGTATTCCTCCGTCCTTGCAGCTGATGCCACAGCAAAGCTGCTGTGCACGTGGGGCCTGTGAGCCCGCCGAGGGGCCCACGCTGGGAGGGAGTCCCGTTATGGCTTTGGACACAGTCTCCATCCCAGGTCTCCCTGGCAGGCCCCGTAGCGAGATGAGGCTGAAGAAGGGAGCCCTGCAAGCCCTGGGTTGCAGCGGTGTGGCCGAACTCCGCGATGACGTTGCTGCGTTCGATACTGGCATCTCAAAAGATCAGATAGTTCCCATGAACGCTTCCAGCAATCCACTGGTGATTCCAGCACG